GCTTGCTGCACGCACTAGGCAAACAGCGCATACAATCCACACTCTGCACAGAATTTGGTAGCTCGACATCCCGCAATGTTACAGCGGTAGAGGCGCAGGCGTCGCGGCCGCCACGCAAGGCGCTTGCGCGGCGCGGTGCATGAGTGGCAACAGCTCACGAGACCACCTGTTTTCGTCACTGTCATGGGCGCGACGCGATGCTCCCTGCAATGGGAAATGCAGCAAAGCGTACTGCCTGCAATGGCCACTGCTGTAAAGCGCTGGTAAGTGGCGCGCCGCCGGTGCTCCTTCTCGAACGCCAGGAGCGCCGCGTCGATCCCGTCCTCCCACGAGTCGCACGCGTCCAACTGCCAGAGTCGCAATGGGGGCAGGGGAGATCGGAGGTTGGACCTATCTGTCAGCAACAACGGCGGCCAACAACAAGCATCGCAAGTTTTTCACTGGAAGCCTTCGTGTGCTCATCACCCACAAGTGGGACCAACGGGAAGGCCCAGGTTACTCGCTTCTAGCCACGCGCGCCTAGGCAGCCACACACACTCACTCCCCGCGCCGCGCGCGCCGGCTGCGTCCGGCCCCACCTTCCGGCAGAGCCAGAGTGTCTGCGGGGCCACCTTCGCGGCCTCCTCGTGGTTGTCCTTCACGTCCTGTTTCATGTGGTTGTTGTCACTTTGAGTGGGATGCTGCTAAGCATGCCTGCGGGCTGTGGCCCAGGGCGCAGGCCGCACAGAAGGTCGGTAACATGCTCACGGGGCCTTGCGGGACACATGGGTTTGTGCGGCAGGCGCGAGCGCGACTGCCCACGTGCGCGAGGCGAACGGTGTGCTGACTCTGCATCTTCATGGTGATACACCCGGGGGGGGGGGGCTCACTATGTTGATGACGAGCAGCGGCTTCATCGTGGATGGCTCGCGGTTGTGCATGTCTGTAAGTGGGAACCGCGAGGGCATTGTGCACACAGATGAGGGGCCCTGGGCATGGGGCCTAGCACATCAAGCCCATCACCTACAGCTGCGGGAGCTGGCCGCTATTTGGCGGCGTCTGCCCGATGCCTCACGGCAGCGACTTGCTCAACAAGCACAATTCTCGCAGGAATGCACACAGCTGCTGACCACGGGCGCTGTCAACAAAGTATGCGCTTGCCCCCCACAGGCCGCCCACTCACCTTCCACCACCTGCTCCATAACTTTCTCCTCAAAGCACACCGCCACATCAAAGTGGTGCTCCCTGTGCCAAGATTGTGCGGGGAACGCGCCTCCATCAATCAAGGCCACGTGCTGAAGGCCGCCCCGCGTTTGAAATGCCTCCCCCTCTTCGAGCTTCACTACACGCCGTCTACGCGGGATGCCACAAGCACAGGCGCCCCGCCCCGCACCGCGCGGGCGCACCCGCCCCCTCGGCCGCCGCCGCCGCCGCCGCCGCTGCCGCCTAAGCCCAAGCTCACCTGTCGTGCTGCCAGCCCTCGGGCGCCTGCTTGACGGCCATGTTGCGCTCCAGCATCTTCAGCAGCCCGTTTCTGGTGTAGAGCGCCGGGTCCTTGCCCTTCAGGTCCTCAAAAATGGTGCGGTAGGGCGTCCCAAACTGGTAAACGTTTGGGGAGTCCTTGGAGGCGCCCGGAAGCTTCACGTGCTGCCCAACGCCGTAGCTTGGGACCTTGGGTGGCGCATGCATGCATGCATGAAGGGGCGTGTGCAACGGTTTGGGGTGTCAGGGACCGCCACGAACCCTGCAAAAATTGTCAAGACACCTGCATTTCCTCCTCAAGCGAATGTGACAGCACACCTGCAGTGCGTGGCTAATCAGAACGAGACCCCGGCCGGGTGCCTACAAAAAGCTTGTGCTTCGCCAGGGAGTCGTGCGCCTCCATGGATCGGTTCATGTTGGAAGCGCACACCATGGCAAAACGCAGCTTCGCCATGGCTGCGGCGCCCGCCTGCCGCCCGTGCACGAGCCGTCCCCAGCGCTGCCGCTCCGCGCTGTGCTGCGCCCGCTGGGTTCCTGGGGTGCTGGCCCTGCAACCAGCACCCGGGTTTTGGCCCTGCAACCAGCACCCGGGTTTTGCTGCAAGCAGGCAGGGATGGCTTCCTAGGATGGAGACTCTGCCATCGGCACGGCGGGAGCTGCAATAATAATGACTGCGCCTCGTCCGGCGACGGGTGGAGTGGCGCCGATGTGGCTGGCGCGACTGCTGCGCAGCGCCTGCCTGCGACTTACTATAGTATTCACTTGTAATATACACTCATCAGTAGCAACCGTGATTCACGGTAGCAGCAAGGCCACAAATGCGAGATCTGAGGATGGGTGATGCGTTGAGAATGCGAACAGTGTCAGAAAATGCCTGGGTTCATGATACGGTACCCGCTGGCCGTGCGATCTATGGACATCATCAGGTGGGGCACTGCAGACACAGTCACACAGTCATCAGCCTCACCCCAGGTGTGCAGCTACATCGCATATGGTACATAGCAGCCTGCATCAAAAGGGTCGCGCATACATTTTTACTCCAAGACATTCTTTGTCACAACACCGACACAAGATCACTTGCGCGGGAGCAGCAACGCCGCACAGTAGATGGCAATTGGCACCATATTGATCCCATCTATTTATACGTGGTATCAGTTTCCCTGCATCAGCAGCAAACTCGTAGGGTGTGGACCGCGCCAACGCGTCAGCAGCGCATCGACCCAAGAAACGTAGAGCGGGATGGACGGGCCCCTTGCGGCGCGCTGCAGGAGTTTGGACAAAGGCACTGAGGTGACCGTGAGATGAGGGCTCCATTGATCCCCCCTGGTGATGACGCCAGCCATCGGTGCCTTGTGTGTGAGACGAGAACGGCCTTGCTGGCCGCACCATGCAGCCCGGGAATGCAGGGTCACGGCCTCAGCCACAGCCGCAGCCACAGCCACAGTCGCAGCCACAACCACAGCCGCAGCTGCAGCACTACACAATGCAACGCACACCACCTGAAATGTGCTCCCTGCCCCCTGCACGCGAGCAGCAGTCGGGTGCCCTGGCGCGATGCGAATACCTGGCCATTGTAGAGGCCCTCGAGGCAGTGCCGGCAATGGCCTGCCCAAACTGGGCCTACTTCAAATGCAAGCATCCAAGGTGACCCAAACAACCCCGAGAGTGGCTCCTGGGATACCAATTGTTTGAATGCATGCAAGCAGCAGTGGTGGCAGCGAGAGCTGTTGACCAGAACAATGCACATGCTGAGCAGCCAGTGCCCCTGCACGCACCCTCATATGCAGTGTGCCACTGCATACCGTGCTGGGCTTGTTCTCCCAGGAGGCGCAGTACCGCGTGATCCGCACGCACCACCTCCATAAGGCGGGCATGGCAGCGTACTGCGCACGGTGGGCGGCCGGTGTGGTGGATGGGCGGCCTGAGTAGCCCCGCCCCGTATGTTTGCGATGTCAGCGGCGCACAGGCCCGAACATGTGGCGTTTTAGCAGCCAGGTCCAGTAGTAGGAGTCATTGGGCACTTCCAGACCCCTGCATGTTGAGCCATCCAGCCCTTGCACCTCGCCGCAGCTACCTCCAAGGGTGCGACGTGCTCGAGCTTTGCGCGTCTGCGGACTTCCCACCCTGCCTCATGATGCGGCGCATGCTGGAGCACATGCTCGGTCTCAGCAAGCAGGTAGGGCGCACCAGGTCTGCTGGATGCATTGAACAGGGCATGCTCCTCTTGTTAGGATTCCACAGTTGTGGACGGTCTGAGAAGCATAGCACACCCTGATCACCACTTTGTTTCCGCGCCTGACGCCTGCAATCACCACACGACGTAGCGCGTGAGTGAGGTGTTGAAGGACCCGTCCCAGCTGACCGCCGGCCTGGGCGGCGTGATGGTCAGTGAAGCGGCAGCATCCGACACAGCTGACGAGGCGCTGTTTGCACGGCTGCGTGCCGACGTGGTGCGTTGCTCTCGTGCTGACCGTAGCTATTCCCCCACCAGCGACATGGCCAAGTCTCTGGCTGGTGAGGCCGGGGCTTGGGCACGAGACTCCCAGCGCCTTCGCAGCGAACTTGTTGTTTTTACTGGGCTGCCTGGGCTTGTAGCATGTGATAGGCTGCCTAGCCAAGTGTTGACGCGCTCCTCAAGTTGTGCACAAGCACAAGACTGTAGCACGCTCTGGGGCAATCTGGGTTTGGCACCCGGCACCCCCTGGGGACCAGCTGCGGCACCAGCCTGGCGGCCAGCCTGACCACCCCCCCCCCCCCACACACACACACCGTCCCGCGCACCCCCTGTGGCCGCAGGCCTTGAGCACGAGGCGGCGCTGTATGCTGCATTAGAGGCGGCGGGGGTGCCCCATTGGAGCGAGCAGGACCTCAGAGACAAGGGCATGTACAAAACACCAGATGCACTGCTGCAGGTGCGAGGGTGGAGGAAGGACTGCCCCGAACGAAGTTGCCTTGGTTTGCATGTCTGCATGTGTGCCTTTGCATAGCCATCGTCTGCCGTGTGCAGCCTTGGAGGTCTGCAGACACGCATGTGCAACGTGTGTCGGAGCCGCAGGCTACTCTTTGTTTCCTGCCTGCGGCCATTCATGCATGATCAACACACAACCCGGCCATGGCTGCCCAGGTGCCAGTTGCTGTGCGGTGCCCCTTGAGCAGCCGCTGGCACATCGTGCACTGGATTGACTCCAAGGCCAGCTTTGGTGACGACCGCCTGCATGCCGCAGCGCTGGAGGGTCAGTACCGCACCTACCTCAACCGCTACGGCTCTGGGGCTGTCATCTACTGGCATGGCTTTGTCAGGGACCTTGCAGACGGCTGCAGCGGTGCAGGGGTGGACGGAAGCGGCCACAGTACCAGCGGCGGCAGGGGCGAGGGCTGCGGCAACGCCAGTGGTGGTGGCGAGGTGCTGCTGCTCGAGCGCTTCCCAGGCTCAGGAGACATGCAGGTGCTGGCTGAGGCAGTGCAGAACGAGGCAGGCCCGGTTTAGCCGTCGTATGCAGTCCCCCGGCCTGGAATGTGGGTGTCAAGCTGCGTGAGCAGGATGAGACGCCATGACTTGAGTTTCACTCGCACGAAACACTCCACAATTATTGCACACCCGCCACTTGTGCCTCCATGCAACGCACGCCCCTGCCAACTGCCCCACTGCACATTGGCGCAGGCCCCAGCTTGCCTCGCTTTGCGCCTGCAGTGTTTGTTGTTACATTCTTAGATGCAGCCCGCGCTTTGCAGCGGGCTGACAATTCAGGCATTCTAAATCCTGTGTGCCTCCTCCTTAATCCTGGGGCATGGCCAGGCCCCTCCGCAGCGTTTCGCGCTTCATCTGCTTTGCACCGACCTTCTGCGTGGCGCAAGTGGCAGACGTACGGGCAAGTAGCGCAGACGGTCAAGGTGCTGAGGAAAGCTGGAATGTGCCTCATTGGGGTGGCGTGGCATGCTCTCGCTGCAACGCTGGTGGAAGTCACGACGCGTCTGTGGGCTTGCGCGCACTGTAAAGACGGAGAGCGTCCCACAATTGCACATGCCTTGCCAGCATCTTAAACTGCACACATGTGTGTGAGCCAAGCTGCACTTATGACTTCCCACCAGCCAAGAATCAGCCGCGCGCGCACCTTCTTAGGCTTTGCTGGTGCGTTCTTCTGCGCCCACCACCATAGCCCAACATTTGCCCCAATGAACACAACCAGCAGCACCAGCACCGTTGCCAGGATGGTGGGCACCGGGTTGGGCAGGTCCTTGCCAGCCAGGTCGGCTATGTCGCTGTACAGAGGAGGGAAGTGGGTGGGCATGGGGTGGGGATGGGAGAGGGGGCGTGGCCGCAGCGGGAGCGATCCCTTGTCATGATAGACAGCGCACATGGTGGGCCGCCGCAGCATACAGTATGCAGGCACGGAGTACAAGAACGTGCTGCCAGGGAATACAGTCCTGCAGTGTGTCACGGTCAAGCAGCACGCGGAAGCATCAACCACCGCCATTGGCGCGGAAGCGCCCCTCCCTCGTGGACACCACCAAGGCAGGCTCCTTGTCGGCAAGATTTTGACACTCACGGATTTTGTTCACTCATCGAGTCGCCTCCGCTTGAGCAGGCTCCCTGGTGGGCGAGGGAGTCGGCACCCCCAGAGAGTCGATGGCAGAGCCCGCGCTGATGAAGGTTGGCAAACCCAGGAAAAATGACTGCGCTCAGCAAATCCAATCAACGCCAGAGAATTCCCGATCCACCAACCTTCTCGTTGGCGGGTGCACCCCACTACTCTGCACACAACTCACAGATCAGATCCACCGAGTGCCACGGCGAGCTAGAGCTCGTGTGAGAGTTGAGAATCCACGCCTGTCGCTTGGCCAGCAGTCCGGCAGGTCCATAGCTCAATAGCCCTGACATAACCGACCTTGGCGGTACCCGCCGCCCAGGCCAGGCATGCCCTTGCTCCTCGGAGCTTATCATAGGACCATGATGCACGCAGTGTCCATGACCCCTTTGGCGACCGCCCCAGTGTTTCCTGTGTGGCCTCCCTTTCCAACGTGTGTAGCTGTACAGCACAGACGAGCGACTAACTTGAAGTGACAACACTGCAATCAACGACCTCAGAGCAACCAGAAACAGCCACCCAAGAATGAACCACAGCATCAGGGACAGACATGGGCGTACAAAGCATAGAGATGACCCGCACATGCAGTGATCAACTTGGAATGTGTTAATGGGTCAGGTGGTACCGCATGGTAGTTGCAGCAGGAAAAACAAGGTGGTAAACTCCGACAGCGCTCAAGATATCAACAATCGCCCAGGGCCGCACCCTGGCCGCGGCCCGCCAGCGCAGCACCACTGCCCCTGTCGCCACCCAGCGTGGCAGAGCGCCTGCTGTCTCGTGTGCCGTCAGCATCTAGCCTGCTTCGCCACACGTCCTTGTGCTGTCGGGGGATGGAGGTTGTGATGACCTAAAGCTCTGACGGTCGCATGAGCACTTGGGCAGGACGCAAGCACGAGCTCAATTTCCTGGCAGGCGCGCCAACACGACCCGGCTTTCCGGAAAAGCCGCAGGCATAACAGTGGCACGTGGCCGTGCATCGTGCTTTCGCTCCCATGAACAGCACCTACCTGCAGCTTGTCCGCTAGCGCCCTGACCCGCCGCTCCACCGCCGTGGCATCTGGGCCGCACTCCCCGAGCGGTGACGCCCGCTGCGCTTCGCTCCTAGGCGATGGCTGTGACCCCTCATCGCGCGACCCTGGCTGCGGCCCTGCCCGGTGCGCTGACAGACGTGACGCCTCTGCGCGCGGCGACAGCCTGGAGCCCTCAAAGCCAGGGGCGCTGCCCATCGACGCTGCAGCTGCTGTGCGCAACAAGGCATCTGCGAAGCGCGGGCTGGCGCCACCGTAGGTGAGATAGTCCGGTTGGCGTGCCGACAGGACGGGGGACGCCTGGCCGCTGGCGGCAGCGTCGCTGCGCTCGCCTCGGCGCACAGGGGGCGGCGTACGCCAGCCCGTGCTCTCCTGCTCTCCTTCCTCGGGGGAGCTGCCCCGCGAGTACTGGCTGGTGCCCGCGCGGCTCTCTGATCCCATCCAGTCCTGTGTGCGTGAGCGGGTTGGGGCTCGTGTTTGGGCGCGATCTCCTGGAACAGCTTGTTGGGAAAAGCTTGCGCTTGATGCATTGCCCTCAGAGGTACAAGGACAGCTAACCCTTTCATGGGTATCTTTTGCTCGGCTACCCTCAATTTTGGCTCATCTGTGTGGAGCTACTAGCCGTGCCCTGCCAAACCACTTACCCGGAATGCGTCCCACATCTCATATGTCGCCTGGGGCAAATCAGGGGTGGTGGGCACCCGGTGAGGTTAACTGACACACAGCACTGTTAGGAGCAAGCCTGTAAGCCCAATCTGTACACAAGTGCACGCTCCACTCCCTGTCACTCCCTGTACTAGCCGACCCACAACCTGTGGCGCACCTCTGCAGTGTCTGCGAGCTCCCGCTCCACCGCCTGCCTTGCCGACCTCTCCTTAGACAGCTCCGACTGCACAGTGTGACCAAGTTGGCAGGTGCCATGTAGGCTGTAAGTGCGGGTATTACATGCTGGGTGGAGGCGTGCTGCTAACAGGGGTCTGCGAGCGACACA